ATTTTAATCCATTACTCAATTAATGCCTTAACCTTCCATCTACTAGGAGGTCCTTACTTTATTTCAAAATAAAAGCATGGGTGAATTCAAACAACAAGAAAAAGTACATGCAGCTGAAGTCACCACAACAATTCAAAATAAAATCCTCACAATCTGTATTTTAAAATGCCAAATAATGAAATTTCAACAATTAATCGAACAATTAAACGTGATTACAAAAAATATATTCGACACTTCTCATTTTGGTGTTTTTTTTCAAATTTGGCAATGTTGCAATTCCTTATCCACTTCCTCTGACATCATCCAGCTCGGTTTTATGGCTTTGTTTACTACAGAAAAGTCAGCAGTACCCTCAAAGAATGATATTTTTTCTTAACGTTAATTGGTCTCGTGATCTTTTCCAATTCAAGCCGACGTGCATCTTTGCCCAACCTCCTTTCTTTTTGTGAATAACAGGCCAATCATAAGTCAATCACAGCTCATAAATGTTCTGTTTCCTCTCAGACGCATCGCCTTTGACAGAATCCAGGCAGCAATCATTTTGAATGCAGCGTAGCAAATACACAAACACACCTTCAAGGAGACCAGATTGCTAAAAATATACTTCATGAAAGTGAGTGATGGTATCAGAAATTGTAGAAATCATGTCGTATGTTGCCAGTTTATATTCCACAACACCTATTTAGAAATAATGGGTGCCTTACATATTGGCAATAACAACTCCAACCTGCATTACTAGCTCTGAATTATTAAGAGAGAAATTCTTGACCCTATGCTCGCAGTTTTCTCCCAGCGTCCTTTGGGAGCGAGGCGAGGCATTCGCATGTGATGCAACACATGCAAACACTTTGATCGGGGGGGGGGAGGGACTTGCTCCATCTATTTTGCGAGTGTTTATTAAACAGATCGAAGGCCCTGCAGGATTTTTCTCTGTCATTTACTGGATCGTCTTAAAGCACTTTAACAGAATACTTTCCACTCCGTGCTCGATGGGAGTGATTTCACAACTCAGGCATTCCGCCTTTTTGGACGGAGGGGCGGCTGCGCCTCCTGCACACAACGATGTAAACACTGCAGCCATGCCTTGACCATACAGCGCTGGGATTATAAGCTGGCCTCATATGTTCCCTGTAAAATAATACTGGACATTTGTAGGAGGTGATGTAAGCAGAGTGGGTCCAAAGGATATTTATGTTGATTTCAGCCTTAAATAAAAACAAACATTCAATCTAGTTTTTCTCGCATTTGTTGCCAATTCCGGCGAGCATGTAAAATCGCTCATCCATACATCATGTGTCTCCTCTCGCCTCTCTCCTCCAGCCTCACCTCCCTCTCCCACAGGCTCTGGTTTATGTGTGCGAGTGTATGTTTGAGCCATGGTCACCCTGGGACCATTGAAACACCATTTTAGGAGACAATGGGCTCCTCCTACACAGCCATAAAACACACGCCGTCTAACCTTACCACTGAACTTAAGTCAGTGTTAGAGCGCGGGGGGGGGGGTAACGTCTCCTCCCTTATACTGAATGTTCTCCCCAAAAATCTAGACATATTTCTTATTTCCATTATTTAAGAGACAGTTGATTTCTTCCCGTCTGCGTTAGAGCCTGACCGATTTATCGGCATGCCGATAATATCGGCCGACATTAGCACATCCAGTGAATATCTGTATCTGCAAATTTTAGCGAGGTATGCATCTATATTACTCGATTTATTCACCTGTCAATTTTGATTTGAGTATCATGGTATTGGCCGAGCAGTTCTCTTTCACCAGCAGAGGGCGCCATATGGATTACAACAAGCATTATCACTCTCCAGAGTGTTAAACAGTGATACTCATGCACAGATACTTTCCAGTTGAGTGGCCATCTAGTCTTCTCTACAGATCAAAGATAGATATCGGTATCAGATTTTTTCTCTCCCTAATACTGATATCGGCATCAGACCAAAAAGTCTCATATCGGTCGGGCCCTACTTATGACAACCTTATTGTTAATTTTTATGCTGATCATGTTTGACTTCTTACATCCTTCTTGTCTCCTAAGCAGCCAGCTTATCAAAGAACCATCTCCCCTTTTGTCTGTAACTCAACAACACTGCAGGGTTTTGATTCCGCCTGTGTGACATCCACGCCAAACACTGGAGAGTCAGTCTGCAGCGGTTTATCTGTTGTCTCCAGATTTTCAGAGTAAAGCAAGTGTTCCTCTTTATTCCTCAGCATTCCTTACATGTCTCCTCACTATCTGATAAGGAATTCAGTGTCTTGTGTGTGTTCGACTTTGCAATAAACCAAAAGACAAAATACTCTTTCATGAAGTGTGCTTGCACGTACTGCACCTGGCCAGCTCATACTCTCCAGCCACTGTGTTCTTGATAAAGTCGGGTTGTTTTGCATACTTGTGTTTTTTTATGAGCCTGGATTGAAGCAGGCATCTTTTGACACAGATTGCCCAATTCTGTTTCCACATCAAGTATTACACAAACCCAGACCACCTCCTTCCTTCTTTATTAAGGATCCTCACTGGTGGGCCGAGCTCGTGAAAGGACGATTACAACAGATTTTTTTTTTTTACGACGCGAGCATGCGATCAAAGTTGTGGTTGTGCAGATTGTCCAGATGATTCTCTCGGCTGTGATTTATTTGCTTTAGTAATTAGGCCCACAGCGAACCTTTTGTCACAGTTGTATCTCCGAAATATCACAACTTCTCAGATGCCAAGATGAACAGGCTTGTTATTAGCTCGACCGCGATGCGTTTGTGGATATTTTTAGCGGGGATTGCAGCATGTAGTCTGCTCACAGGAGGTCAAATAAAAAAAAAAAAAAGACTTGATCTCTCTTTAAAGAAGATTTGAGGTCGCTGATAGGCAGATTTCAGGCGTGGTGAGATAATCTTGCAGGCTGCTACTCCTGCTTCATATTGAAGAGAGAGTTCTGAGATTGTTATAAATTGTCTCGACTAATTTAGAGCAAAAAGAAAAAGAAAAGAAAAAAAAGAAGTAGGCATATTTCCTAAAGTTTTGAATTATTGCTTTGAGTTTGAATGCATGACTTAAAGAGATATCAAGCGCTGGGTTGTCATGATTTTAAATGTACATATTGAATCATTCATTTGAATTTAAGACTAGCACAACAACCTCTATCCAAAACCTCCCTATTTGGAGTGTCCCCCTTGAATCTTATCAGCTGTGGCGCTCCGTTTGTGGGTCACAGACATGAAAACATTTGAGCAGCCTGACTGAAGATAATAAGAAGCTTCTTCCTCCTCCTTCGGTGCCCCGCCCCTCCCCCCCCTTTGTCTTGGCTCAGCCTTTGGGTGTCAAATACCTTGTGCTTATCTATGTCGCGTAAATGCAATAAATGCGTATAACATGCTTGTTGGTTCTGAGGTGAACCAACAGGTTTTTTCAGTGTGTTAACGATTATATAACCTGCCATGCCTGTTTATGTTTGAACACAGAAGCAGTTGGATCATTATGAGGCAAAGTTAATTCATGTAATGTTTTATTCATCATGAAGGATTTCTGCAAAAGCACTTTAGGGGTAAAATATTACTGGGACTTTTATTGTGAAAGGTTACTGCCATTAATGGCAATTTAACCTACTAGAAATTGACCTTTTTTTATAAAGAATATAACAGTTCACTTACTGAAAGGCGTCCAGCATATTTGTTTTGGTAATACCAGTAGTTTCCATCCTACTTCCGTTAGCTTTTGTGCAAATACAACCCAAACGAAGCTCATTTTATTCTGAAAGTCTCCACCGGAAGTCCCGCTTGCACACAGCACAGTGAACTTGCCGGTCCCCTTTTCCTCTTTGCCTCGGCTCGCTTGGTTCAGCATCTGTCTTCCCCCCCGAGCAGTCCACGGAGCGCGCGGTATGGATCCGTTACGCATTACGCACTGTGGTGTGACACGCGCTTCTGACTCGCGTGAAGACATCAACTCTTAAAAAAAAAAAGAAAAAAAAAAAGCACGCGCTGCACTGGTTTACACTAAGAAAGGAAACTGTCTTTAATGCAGAAGAAGAAGAAGGGGAAGAGAGAAGAGATTCGTTGTGACTTTTTTTTTTGTTCCAAGCTTTCTTTGAGTGTCTTTTTTTTTTATGTGGATACTTACATCTTTGGGCAATGGGAGACTCCGTGTTCCTCGACAGGCACAATTCCTATCTTGTGAGTACTTTATTTATTTGGCTGTTAATTAATTAGAAAGGACTCGCGCGCGTTTGAGGGAGAGAACACGCGCATGCACGCTGGTGTAAATGTGAGTGCGCAAGCTTGTTTGAAAAAAACAAAAAAAACAAACAGAGGCTGACAGATGTTAATTTCCTGCATTAGGAGGACTTTAACATTTTAAGCCCCTCTGTCTCGCTGTACAACTCACACGCCTATCAAGGGATATTTGACGTAATAATCACGTTATCTTGCAGAATAATCTTGACTACATTTAAATACAGAACTTATTTGTCACCTATTGTCAGTGTTATCCTTTCAGTTATCAGTGACACTGCAACGTGGACGTGGAGAGAAAAAAAGAACTTCCTGTGATGGAACGTTTTAAAGTGACATGTTTTGCATAGAGCATGCACACTCACATATTGCACACAAGACCACACATGTTTCCTGGTTTGAAGAGGAGACTTTTTTTTTTTTTTGCAGCCTCAGAAACCTGCAGCATACTTCATGGCTGGAGTTGTTGTTGGTGTTTGACACTCTACACCTTGAAGCTCGGCGCTGAGATGAGGGCAAAACACACAAGTATGGGTCAAGGCTGTTTGGACAGATATGATGGCACTGATGAGAACTGCATTTGTTTTTTTTTTAAAAAGAAACACTCAGCATTTCCGAGCTCGTGTGTTTTCATGCCGTTTGGCATATTTCTGACCTGAGATTAGCTTTTTCAAGGAGTAGGGCAGCAACAGGTTTTCTCGTGGAACAGGTTCATTCAAATGTGGGAACTGTGTTTGGTTTGTGCAGTGGAGGCAAATTTAAACAAGCACACATGCTAGTGTTTTATCATCTGCCCTCTTGTGTTTCCATCCCCCCCCTCCTCCCCTCCAGTGGTGAGGAATCCTCCGCCGACTGCTCCAGCGGTCTGTCTCCTCTTTATGAGCAATGCTCCTGTGGCTGGAAGCCCTTGTAAAAGCTACAAGCATTGATTGGAAAACAATACAATTTTCTTTGGCTCGCCTTCGAGCACGTTGCGGTTTTTGGATTTGGTGTGAAAAGCGGGTCGCCACAGCGATGGTGTCTAAAGTGCCTCCAAACAACAGGCTGATGAGGCTTCAGTGCACTGACCAGACTCATCCTGGTTCACTTCTCCACTACAGTGCATGTCATCTTCCTGGGGGAATTCAAATTGATGTATCTGGGCTTGTTTGTTTATCCAAATCTGTCCTCCATTCATGAAGCCTGTAAAGCCATTACAGAAAATCACATTCACAGAATTCAGAACGGGGCTGATTGAAGAGCCGTTAAGGCAGAGCAAGAACAACAACATGTAGAACAATTAAGACTCTCAAGAATACTTCAAGGTTGTAACATTTGCTAGGTTGTGGTTTCTACTGGTTGCCACCCAGTGGAGGTCTTGCATGGGAGTCCAATTTTAAGGATATGTGAGGCGGACTATAAAAACAGGAGAGGGTTTATGTAGCCTACTTGGCATGGGAATGACCCAAGATCCCCTAAGACTGCTCATGGAATCGACTAGGTGAAAGGGCATGTTGAAAACTTTGGATGTACTGAGCTGTAATGAGCTTTAGATTCAAAGACAGGGCAGGACATTAAATATTATCCACAAGATCATGCAGAGCTGAACAACTACTGAACTTCTTGAAATCAATCTGTGGGGAAACTTGGGCTTCCCGTTGTGGTACGTCAAACAATTTCATGAATATCAGGGGTCAGCATCACCCAGACGTGTACATTTCCAGAGCTAGGAATAAGAAGGCAGGTGTCCAACAGCGTATCTCTGTTTTAAAAAAATCCTTTGGATGTGAAATCAGAGGTTTTAAGACATTACCAAAGCTGATACACTTGTAAGGCTATGTGCGGATATGCAGTTGAAGAGGACCCCAGCTTCAAGATCTTTCCTTTTGAACCAAAATGGTACCAAATCATGACCCCCAAAAAACCGAGGCAGGAACCGAACCGTGACCTCTGTGAACTGTTACACCCCCTACAAATCAGTATAATGACAATAAAGCTTCAGCATGGCGAGAGGAAATCAAACAAGCTCAAAGTGCTTGTTCAAATGAAATAGTTCGGCCGGAATCCAGAACCTCAAAGGGCAATCTATTGTTGTAGCTTTAAAGGGGATTATCTGCAACAAGATCCATTTTGATAGCTTGAGCCAATCTGTCAATTAGTTGTAAGTAGAAAGTGGCATTTGAACATTGAAATCTTCCCAAATGAACATGAAAAAGGAAACTCCAGCAGTCGCTCGGTTTCTTTTGTTTTGCTCTTCATTTCACAAGCAAGCTGTAAATGTAAGCCTGAGTGTGCACTGTCTTTGCCAGGCTGTAAAAGAAAATATAGTTTGCATTGGAAAATGTGTCTAAACAGACTCGGTCTACATCTTGAAAGCTTTATAAGGAAAGAAATTCAATCGGACAGCATCTAGCCATTTTAATCTTTCCCTAGAAACCTTAAACCACTGCTTTATTACAAAAAAGCAGCAGGTAAGAGGGTAAGAGCTACGTCCTGAAAATTCATCACGATCAAATACCATCGGACTTGAAGTCAGGCGGCCGTTTGCTGTCGTATAAATTCATGACACTCAGTTGAACTTGTGACAAGAATGTGGTTAAAATATGACCAAAAGAAAGGTTTCCAAGGAAAAATGTCTGTGTGTTAATGGAGGATTAAGATGATCAAAAAATGAAGGATTTGCCATTCCCACCATGGCAGATAAATCTTTCCAATCGTTGGTTTTCTGACTGGAGACAAACATGGATGGGAAGAAGTAAAGAGATAAAAGTGATGTGTTGCAGCACCTTGTGTTTGCCTGTGCGTAAATGCCTAATCCCCCCATCCAGTCACTTGTGCATTTGCTCTACTGGAAGTGACCGTGATACTTCTGTTTATGGCGTCAAAGGCAGTGTATTCACGGAATACCATCTGGGAGAACATAACAGTCTGGGCTCATCACGCACCTCTTATATTTGGAAGGAATCTGTTTTCCAAAGCAGATCATTGTGGTTTACGGGGATTTCAAGATTGATACTTAAGGAATCTTTTTGGTCATTCCCAGTCAGATTCAACAAATCCAAAGGTCGAAAAACTGCCAAGAGGAACAAACCACTTGCAGAAGAATGGTAACTCTAAAATGAAGGCATTAGATCTTCAAAAGGTGAGGCAAGATGTGGCTTCTGATTCATATTTGTTGGATTCCTGACGGTGAGAGCTGAGTTCTTCTAGATTTGTCATTCTGATCAACTTATCCATAGAGTATTAGCATGTTATCGTTACTACCTAGTGAGATATGATGGATGAAACTGGTCAAATTAAAGATTTGACTTTGATCTATGTGGTGACCCAAATAATTAAGATAAGAGCCGACCAATTTATTGGCCAGCCGATAATATCAGCCGATATTAGCATATCCAGTGACTATTGGTAATGGCTGATATTACTAGATTTATTCAGCAGTCAATTTTGATTAGAGTATCATGGTATTAACCTCGCAGTTCTCTTTTACCAGCAGAGGGTGCTATATAGATTACAACAAGCATTTTCAATCTCCAGAGTGTCAAGCTGTGATGCACGTACATGCTCAGTTGTCTTCATTATTTATCTTTTCCACAAAAGTTTGGTAACTGCACTTTCTAAATCTATTTATCTCTACAGATCGCAGATAAAACCAAGAAAGTTATCGGCCAATTATCGGGATCAGATTTTTTTAGATCCCGAACATCAATCGGTGCCAAAAAAACCCACATCGGTCGGGCCCTCATCAAGATATAACTTTCAATCCAACAACCATAAATCCATTAATGTATCTTAAAATAAAAACTATCTCCCACTACAGAAGTGCCAAAGTGTTGATGATGTTAACACCAATGCTGTTGCACATATGTAAACTTTCTACTGACCAGGCTCCAATCAATGGTTTAGCTTAGCATATCAAGATTGTCCAAGATGATTATTTGACCTTTTTTTCCAGTTCCCATACAATGTAACATTTTATTTGATCAGCATAAATTGCTTGGTTAATTCTGGAGGGCCTTTGACTGTTACGAAATAATACTTGATTCCTGCACCATCAAAAAAATCTAGTCCGACAACCATTGATCCAATTGTTAGATGGTTGTCAGTGTTCATGTCTGAAGTCGTAGGTCATGTGCCTGGTGAAGTCATGTGCTGTCACAGAATGACAACAGACAAATTAATGAACAAGGAAGTTTAAGAACAGGAGCGTGATGCGGGTGAACTCATCCTGGAGAGGAGCCAGCCGGCACCAAGGTTTTCAGCTAATAGTCAAATAGTGATTCTCTTGAAGTCTTTCGTTTGCAAGTGTTGGCAAACTCTACAACTTGTAGGCTTCAAAGTCGGCAATCATTGGTGCATCATGGAACTGATATATAGCAGACTGAAAGATGCACATTGCTCTGGTCATTGAGAAGTTAAAAGGACAGCCAGGGAGCACCACAAAGGACGTACTGATGCATTGATTGATGACCCTCTCTCACTATTGCTTGCTTCATCCTGGCCTCTGTTGTCTCTTTGTCTCTCGTCACTAACTAAACAGAAAACGCTTCCTCGAGCCGCCCTGACCCTCGTCAGCTTGTTTAGACAAGCGCCAGATTTCCAACCATTTGTCTCCAGTTTTTCTTGTCGTTGCCCTTCACCTTGACATTTGGCTCCAACCAAGTCTCCCTCCCTTTACTCTATAGAGCTGAGAGCAAACATTGTATAACACACTGTCCTCTCCTTACCTGCTCATGTGTGACCTGGTTCCATTGTGAGAGGTGTGTTTGTTTTACTTTCCAGCCGCTCCAAAGACAAACAGCTCAGGCAGGAAAATCCACAAAGCATTCAGTCATATTGCAAATTAAAATAATCTTTGACCAAATCAATACATTTACAGCTGCTTGAGCATCAAGGATGGACAAGCAAGCAAACTAACAGCTCTACTCATGCACATGTGCCCGTGTGTATGCAGTGTTGGAAGG